GGTCAATGACATGAGACAAAGTATATGTGAACTGCTGTATGAAAAGTGAATTTACTCTGTAAATCTTCACCCAAATCCTAATAAAAAATTAAAAAAAAAAATCTATGTCATAAAAGATGCAAGAATTTTAGTTTGGTTTAGAAAACTATTAAAGACTAGATATATCAGCTTGTTCATAGTTTGTTTTAAATGTTTAAAAATCAAATGGGTAAAAATTATTTGAATGCTTAACTATGTTTTTGAAAAGGGGTGTGTTTAAAATCTAGGATTTTATAGTCTAATCACTATTCTGTTGCATCCTGGAATTATTGCCTCTTAGCTGCATTGGGTGTGGTATTCCTGGCTGGTATTTATGGGTTTCATTGAAGAGTGGCATCACCCCTTACCTCCGCTGTGCTGCATTGTTTTTCCACTATTTGCTTGGGGTAACTCCACCTGAAGAACTGCTTGCCAGTAAGTAGGAAAATGAACTTATGGAGTTATAAATGAGAGAATGGATTTTTGTTCTTACCTTCAAGCTCAAGAATAGAACCAACCTCTCTACTCTCATTTCCTTCATCTATGTTTACTCCAAATTTGTGTGCCCTTGCTGTGCAGTAGGTTACAGATGAGGCAAACAACCAGATTGGCTTGAGCTGATAAATTGCCTCCACATGGAATATAACTGATAGAAGGTATACTTGAAATTGGAAGCATTGGTTGCCTTTATGGAGGAAAATTGATTGTTCGGCCAAGTAGGAGGAATACTATATTGTATACTCTTGTTATTTGATTTTTGAACATGTGACTATATCTATTATAAAAGTATTAAAATACTACTAGGAAAGGCCTGCCAGAACCAACCAAGGCTGTGTGTATTTGAATGTTGTTGTTGTTAGGTGCCGTCGAGTCATCTCCAACTCATAGCGACTAGCAACCCTATGCACAGCAGAACGAAACACTACCCTGTCTCGTGCCAGCCTCATAATCCTTGCTATACTTGAGCCCATCATGGTAGCCACTGTATCTATCCATCTCATTGAGAGCCTTCCCCTTCTTTGTTGATTCTCCACTTTACCAAGCATGACTTCCTTCTCCAGGGAATGGTTCCTTCTGACAACATGACCAAAGTAAGTTAGACAAAGTTGGGCCATTCTCACTTCCAAGGAACATTCTGGCTGCACTTCTTCCAGGACAGATTTGTTACCCCTTTTAGCAGACCATGGTACTCTTAGCAATGTTCTCCAACACCACAACTCAAAAGCATCAACTCTTCTTCAGTCTTTCTTATTCATTGTCCAGCTCTCATATGCATACAAGGCGATTCAAAATACCATGGCTTGGATTAGGCACATCTTAGTCTTCAAGGCCAGCCACTCCTCGGAAGGAAGATGGGGCAGTCTACTTCCGTAATGATACTGCCTCGGACACCCAAGGAAGGGTCACTATTAATCAGGTCCGACTCAACAGCACGTAACTACAACAGCAGTCTTCAAGGAGACATCTTTGCTCTTCATCACTTGAAAGAGTCTTTTGCAGCAGATTTGCCCAATGCAATACGTCATCTAATGTCTTGATTGCTGTTCCATTGCTGTTGATTATAGAACCAAGTATTATGAATCCTTGACAACTTCGATCTTTTCTCCATCTACCATGAAGCTGTTTATTGGATCAGTTGTGAGGATTTTTGTTTTCTTTATATTGAGGTATAATCCATACTGTAGACTGTATTCTTTAATCTTCATCAGTAAGTGCTTCAAGTCATCCTCACTTTTTTAGTAAGCAAAATTGTGTCATCTGCATATCACAGGTTGTTAATGAGTCTTCCTCCAACATTGATGCCATGTTCTTCTTCATATAATCCAGCTTTTTGGATTATTTGCTCAGCATACAAGTTGAATAAGTTTGATGAAAGGATACAACCTTGACACACTCCATTCTTGACTTTGAACCATGCAGTATCCCCGTGTTCTGTTCAAATGACAGCCTCCTGATCTATGTACAGTTCCTCATGAGTACAATCAAGTGTTCTGGAATTCCCATTCTTCTCAATGTTATCCATAATTTGTTATGATCCACAAAATCGAATGCTTTTGCGTAGTCAATAAAACACAAGTAAACATCTTTCTGGTATTCTTTGCTTTAAGCTAAGATCCACCTGACAGCAGCAATGATATCCCTTGTTACACATCCTCTTCTGAATCCAGCTTGCATTTCTGGAAGCTCTCTGTCAATGTACTGCTGCAACCATTTTTGAACTATCTTCAGCAAGATTTTACTTGCATGTCTTATTAATGGTACTGTTCCATAATTTCCACATTCTGTGGGATCACCTTTCTTAGGAATGGGTACAAATATGGATCTCTTCCAGTCAGTTGGCCAGGTAGCTGTCTTCCTTATCTCTTGGCATAATCAAGTGAGTGCCTCCAACGCCACATTCGTTTGCTGAAACATCTCAATGGTTATTCCATCAATTCCTGGAGCCTTCCTCTTCACCAATTCCTTCAGTGCAGCTTCAACTTCTTCCCTCAATACCACTGGTTCTTGATCATATGCCACATCCTGAAATGGATGAACATTGAATAATTATTTTTGGTACAGTGACTGTGTATTCCTTCTATCATCTTTTGATGCTTCTTACATCATTCAATATTTTGCCCATAAAATCTTTCAGTATTACGACTTGAAACTTAAATTTTTTCCTCAGTTTTTTCAGCTTGAGAAATGCCAAGTGTGTTCTTCCCTCTTGGTTTTCTAACTCCAGGTCTTTGCACATTTCATTACAGTAATTGACTTTGTCTACTTGAGCTGCTCTGTGAAATCTTCTCTGTTCTGCTCTTTTATCTTATCATTTCTTCCATTTGCTTTCACTGCTCCACTCAAAGGCAAGTTTCAGAGTCTCTTCTGACATCCATTTTGGTCTTTTCTTCCTTTCTTGTCTTTTTAATGACCTTTTGCTTTCTTCATGGATGATGTTCTTGATGTCATCCCACAGTTCTTCTAGTTTCTGGTCACTGATATTCAGTGCATCAAATCTCTTCTTTAAATGGTCTCTAAATTGAGGAGACATACTATCAAGGTCATATTTTGGCTCTCGTGGACTTGTTTTGATTGTCTTCAGCTTCAGCTTGAACGTGCATATGAGCAGTTGATGGTCTGTTCCATAATCAACCCCTGGCCTTGTTTTGGCCAAAGATACTGAACTTCTCCATCACCTCTTGCCACAGATGTAGTCAATCTGATTCCTGTGTATTCCATCTGGTGAAGTCCATGTGTATAGTTGTTGCTTATGTTGTTGAAAAAAGGTAGTTGCAATGAATAAGTCGTTGGTTTTGCAAAATTCTGTCATGCGATTTTCAGTGTTATTTCTATCACCAAGGCCATATTTTCCAACTACCAGTAACTCTTCTGTGTTTCCAACTTTTGCATTCCAATCACCAGTGATAAGCAACACATCTTGAGTGCATGTTTGGTCAATTTCAGATTGCAGAAGTTGGTAGAAATCTTCATTTTCCTCATTTTCAGCTTTAGTGGTTGGTGCTTAAATTGGACCAATAGTCATATTAACTGGTTATTCTTATAGGCATATGGATATTATCCTATTACTGACAACATTGTACTTCAGGACAGATCTTGAAACACTCTTTGTAACAATAAATGCTATACCATTCCTCTTCAATTTGTCATCCCCAGCATACTAGATCATCTGGTTGATTCAAAATGGCCAAAACTAGTCCATTCCAGCTCACTAATGCCTAGGATAGCAATCTTTATGCATTGCATTTCATTTTTTACAACTTCCAATTTTCCTAGACTCGTGCTTCGTACATTCCATGTTCCAGTTACTAATGGATGTTTGTATCTATTTCTAATCATTTTGAGTTGTGCCACATCAGCCAGTGGAGGTCCCGAAAGCTTTCCTCTATCCATAATGTTAAGGTCGTCTCTACTCTGAGGAATCAGGTCTTCCCCAGTCAAATTTTGAGTGCCTTCTGACCTGATGGGCTTGTCTTCTGGCACTGTTTCAGGGCTATTCATAAAGTTTCCCAGTAATATATTGACAGTGTTTCACTGCTATTCATAAGGTTTTCACTGGCCAATTATTTGAGAAGTGGATGGCTTCTTCCTTCTTCTGAGTCCGTCTAAGCATGGTAGCCCTGCTGGCATTTTGCAACACGGTGGTATAGCCTCCAGCTTCACAGTAACACATAAGCCACAACAGGATGACGAACTAATAGACAAGTTCCCCTCCCTTAGTTGTTCCCAACCCCTCTGCACCTACCTACCTCGGACAACAGCCTTAAAATAGAGCTGTCCCCAAGCAAAAAGAAGCCGCCAAGCTCCAGGCCCACCTGCCTCTGGCCCCGGCCTTAATATAGAGCCACACCCAAGTAAAAGCAGCCTCCAACCCCCAGGCCCACCTATCTCAGAACCCGGCCTTAAAAAAGAGCCACCCCCAAGCAAAAAGCAGCCCTCAGCCATGGGCCTGCCTACCTCAGGTCCCCACCTAAAAATAGAGCCGTCCCCAAGCAGAAAGCAGCCCCCAAGTTCCAGGCCTGCCTACCTCAAACCCTGGCCTTAATAAACAACCTCCCCCAAGTGAAAAGCAGCCCCTGAGCACTGGCCCGCCTACCTCAGGCCCTGCCTTAAAATACAGCCACCCCCAAGTGAAAAACAGCCTCCAAGCCCAGGGTTTTTGAATAAGAGGGTCATTTTTGTGGGCAAAAATCAGAATGTTTGTATGATTTTGAAGAGTTACCATAGTTGCTCAGAGCTCAAACAGATACTTGTATTCATTCTTCATTGCAACACTATTTGCAATATTTGGAAATAACCCAAGTGTCCATCAGCAGGTGAATGGACAACAAAATGTAATATATACTGACAGTGGAACATACAATTAAATATTATTCAGCAATAAAGAGAAATTAAGTTCTGATACATACTATGACATAGATGAACTTTGAAGGCATTTTGCTGAGTGAAGTAAAACAAAAAATCAAATATTGTTGATCCCATTTGTATGATCCCACTTATATGAAATCTAGACTAGGCAAATGTATAGAGGCCAAAGTGTGTTATTGGTTACCAGGGGTGGAGAGAAGAGAAAATGAGCAAGCATTGGGAGCTCTGGTAGCATAGTGGCTAAGGCACTTGACTGCTAACCAGAAGGCTGGCGGTTCAAACCCACCAGCCACTCCTCGGAAGGAAGATGGGGCAATCTGCTTCCGTAGTGAGGCTGCCTCAGAAACCCAAGTAGGGGTCGCTTTGAGTTGGGTCCGACTTGACGGCACATTAACAACAACAACATTGCTTAAGAGGTACTAAGTTTCCATTTAGGTGATGAAACACTTGGAAATAGATGATGGTGATAGTTGCATAACGTGGTGAATATAATTACTGTCACTGAATTATACACTTAAAAATGATTAAAATAGCAAATTCTGGTTGTATATATTTTACCATGTTGTTGTTGTTGTTGTCATTATGTGCCGTGGAGTCGGGCCTGACTCATAGTGACCCCTACTTGGGTTTCCAAGGCAGAGTATCATTATAGAAGTTGATTGCCCAACCTTCCTTCTGAGGATATTTTGCCATAGTAAAATTTTTTAAAAAAAAGTGGTCAGAAGGTCTTTCCTTTGTCCTTTAAGAGTAATCTGAACAGATCCGCTTTCCTGGCAGTCAACTTCTTTGTCTTGAACTCAGTTCAGTAGGGTTTATCTGATCTGGGTTGGTCCTAGCTCTATATAAAATAAGAGGCACTTTCCAAGTAGTTGTCAGTACAGGTCTGCTGTTTGTACACAAAAAATCCTGTATTAATTTATCTGGTAGGTGCTATTGAGCATCAGTGAGTAAAACAAAGCCCTTACCTTTAAATACCTTTGATTTACTGGGAGGAGACCAAATAAAAACTGACAGATAAATATATATATATAGCATAATGTCAAATGGTGGTAAGTCCTGCAAAGGAAAAAAAGAGCAGGTCTTGGGAATAGAGTGCTGGGATCGCACTATTCTATGACTGTTCTAGTCAAAGAAGGTTTCTCTGTGATCAGACATTGAGCTTAGACAGGGGTGGGCTGTCAGAGTTGAAGGAAGAGTATTGCTACCGGAAGGAACAACAAACGTAAAGGCTTTGCTTGACATAGTCAAAGAACAGCAAAGAGATGAGTGGCTGAAACAATGAGTAAAGGAAGGATGGTAGGAGATGAGCTCTGAGAGGCAGTCAGGGGGCAATTACATAGGGCTTTTATGCCACAATAAGGACTTAGTATTTTATACTAAGTGTGATGGTTAGACATTTAAGGGGTCTTGATGGATGAGGAGAGTGACTCAGTTAATGTTATGCTTTAAAAGGATCCTTTGGCCTATCTGTCACCATAGCTGTATAGAATACAAAATATACTCTACATATAGTTTATAAAAATGAATTATAAACCATGAAGAAACTCTGTTAACAGGTTGACCAGGTAAAAATATGTGCTTATTAAATATATTTTTATTTTCTTATAGATTCCTCAGAAGAAGAGTACAGTGCACTATGTAGCTACCTATCTTTACCCACAAATTTGTTCCTGCTTTTCCAGGAATATTGGGATACTATAAGGCCCTTGCTCCAGAGGTACTATGAGGCAAAATGTCATTAACAGTTTGTTATATACTTTGGAAATTTCAGATTATAATTATTTGCTAAGCTTTTAGACTAATTAGCATTGATTGAAGGGGGTAGCAAAAATATAGGAGATTCCTACTCCACATAATTAAAGGAGTGGGGATAAGACTAGAAAGCCATAAGCAGCAGGATTTTATGCTTGTTCCATCATGACTACCATCCACTGTATAATCTTTTTGTTCTCTGTATTTTACCACAATAAAATTTAAACAGAAAATTAAGGGAGGTAAAAAGGGACAAGATTCAAAATGAAAGAAATATGGAAGGGAGAACTCAGAAAGAAGGGACAAAAACATTGGAGAGAAGAGTCCATTAATGAATATTGCACTTGAAGCTCTGACACCAATTCACATTCTCATTTTCGTTCACATGCAGGTGGTGTTCTGATCCCGCCTTACTAAACTGTCTGAAACAAAAAAGCACTGTGGTCAGGTTGGTTTTACTTCTTAATCCTTTTTCCCATCTACAGGCTGTACCTGCTAAAGTAATTGGTTTGTTGAGTGTGCTTTCTAGTCTGTCAGCTTCGTTTTTCATAGCACGTTCTTTCCTACATGTCTGTTAGGTCTTTGCTAGAAATCAAATTTTTCCTACAGTTATTTTTTTTTTTTCTCTTAGAGTGGATATCTTTTCCCTCTTAGATTCTTAGAAGCCATTAGCTTCTCTTAAAAGAATCTTCCTTAAGCTAATATATGCCTGTCAAAAGGCAAGGGAGGAGATGGCATTTTGGAGCTGCCAGTACATTAAAATCAGAGGTTAGTCACAGTATTTTTATCAACTTTTTTTTTTTTAATTTGAGAATGAAACAAGATGTAAGATCCTGGACAAAGTGGGAGAACAATGTGGAACAAAACTCAAAATCATTAAAAAAAAAAAAAACAGTTTTGTTGATCTGATAGAGCTTGGTGAGACAGTTGAGGCTATGGCCCCTAGCTACCCTTCAGGTCTGGAACTGAACTCACTTCTGTGGCTTCCAGCCAAACAATAGACAGGCATATGTGGTGAATATTTACATAATACACCCCTTGGAGCAGTCAATCATGGGAGAACAGAAGGGCAGTGTAGCACAGGGAGACACCTCAAGGTGGGAGTGCATGGGAGGGAAGGACACAGGGAAGACGTTACTATGGGGAGGAAGTAGGAAGAGAGCTGTTACATTGTGGAGAATGGCAGTCAATGTCATGAGACAAAATGTATATGTACTGCTGTATGGAAAATGAATTTGCTCTGGAAACTTTCATCCAAATCAAGTAAAAATTTAAAACAAAAAAAGAAAAGGAGGGTGACAATGGTTGTACAACTCAAAGAGACTAATCAATGTCGCTGAACTGTACATGTAGAAACTGTTGAATTGGTATGTTTTGCTGTGTATATTCTCAACAGAAGCAACAAAATAATTTTAAAAAGAAAAAGATATATATATATATATATATATATATATAGAACTGTTCCCTCCTTCCTATCTGCTTATAATGCAGCCCCCCCAAAAAAACAATAAGAAATAAAACACCCCTCCCTCAACCCTGCTATCTTCTATTAGTTATGCTTCTATAAAACCCACCTTTTCCTTGGGGACTAGTTCAAATGCCACCTGCTCCCTGAAGCGTTTCCTAATAAATCCTGCCACATATGTGTATGTGCACATTTACCTGCATGTGTACCTGTCAACACCCTAAATCACTAAATAAGGGGAGGAACTGCATGCTTGTCTTCTTTGTGTCCTCTCTAGGGCCTGGCTTTTATTATGTATAGTGTATAATTTGTATTTGAATTGAATTGCATCAAAAACAATAGAGAAATTGGCCCCAGCTTTAAATACCAACATTAGTACCTTTTTTTCTTCACCTTTGGGTAAAATAAACATTGTGACACAGTGTACACTTGCCACCTTCTTGTCTGTCTTCTCTCACTTGAACTACTTTCGCATCATTATGAATGTGCATATGCTGCCTTCCCCATAACCCTACTTCAGTGATTTAGAGATAATAGATTCACGTCCTGTGTTCAGCTGCTGCAGTTTTCACATCACAAGAAAATGAAGACTGAGTAGAGGAAAAGAGTTTGAGATATGAGTATGCATTTTGGGACTGTTAATCTCACACAGTTTTTCCTTTATTTCAAGTCATTGTGTGTGTGTTTTAGACATCTAGTGTTCCCTCATTGTGGTACTAAAATACTCTGGGAGAGTTAAAAGAGGTAACATATACAACTTTGGGTCACAGATACTCTATAATTTAGTGATAGAATCTGGTTACATATATAATTCAAGATAATATAAGAGAAAGTATAATGTGTTGACTGTACTGTTACTGCTATAAAAATCTAAAGAAGATTCTTAATGAGACAAGGTTAATTGTTGAGACAATTTTTGGCTGAGTATAAAAAATATAGATTTAAATTAATTGGGACTTTGAGATGAAAATTTCAAGTTATTCACATTACTTGCCCCCAAGGTATGCAAAGAAGGCTTTTATTTTATTTAGTATGGTGAGAGGAGCTCTGGTGGTATAGTTAAGGCATTTGGCTGCTAACCAAAAAGTTGGTGGTTTGCACCCACCAGCTGCTCTGTGGAAGAAAGACAAGGAGTCTGCTTCTATAAAAATTAGCAGCCTTGGAAACCCAATGGGGGTCACTAGGAGTTGGATCAACTTGATGGCAGTGAGTTTGGTTTTTTTTTTTAGTATGGTGAGAGGTAATAGTAACGTTTGCAAAGATGTATTGAGTACTAAGAATGTGTTTTGTGTTTCATCTTAATATCTCTTTTAGTCCCCAACAACTCTATCAGATTCACATTTAAACATTTCTGAAATCAACATGAGTCTTTTAACTGTTGTGTCCATTTAATGTAATGTTTCTCTCTTTTTCCCCTGAAAACCTGTTGTTATATTGATGGTGTGCTTTATGATTGAGAAAATATAATATATTCATCCCATTTTACATACCAGGAAATACAGGCTTAGATAGATTCAGTTAGTAACTGGTAAAAGTACCAGAAAATTTAGTTTTTATACACAAGTCTTTCTGATTTTGAAGTTCATGTTCTTAACCACTACTTCATATTATCGTCCCAGAGAGTATTACAGGTAGCTAGAATAGTTTTCTCTTACCAAACAGTGGGAGTTAAGTTTAGATTAGAAGCTAGCTGATGCAAGATTTAGAATTAAATTTGGATTTAATTTATCTGCTGAACAATGAGAGTTAACTTTGGGTTCTAAGCATGGATAAACATCCTTTTGTTATTTTTAAGACCTTTTTTCTGTTACCCAGGTCAGTTTTTCACCTGTACTTAACTTACTTATAATAAATTTACCTTTTTAATTATGTTCCTAGGTACCCTAGAAAAAGAAATAGTTTGATAGAGCTTCCTGATGACTATAGCTGCCTCTTAAATCAAGCTTCTCATTTCAGGTAAGAAGATTTTTCTTTCTTTCTTTCTTTTTTTTAAATCTTTTCTAAGCTTGCTTTGTATATGAATAACTGCTAACAAACTATTTTTTTCCTTTTTTGCAAAAATCTTTATTAACCTGGGTCTTTAACATTCACATTGACTCTTTTCTCCCACATAAAGTACATCTTATTTCAACACTTATTTTTTTAAAAAGTGACTACTGAGCAATGAATGTCCTTTCTTCAAACAGAATCTTATATGGAAGCCCATAAAACAGATAAAAACGTTGTGACCTGGATATTGGAGAGAGGAATCCATCCCCTTAGCCTTTTTTTTTGCTCCAGTACTCCTCAACCTCAATCAAATGAAAAAACCTGTTGCTATCAGGTTGACTCCAACTCACAGTGACTCATATGTTTCAGAGTAGAACTGTGCTCTACACAGTTTTCAATAGCTATGACCTTTCAGAAATAGATTGCCAGGACTTTCTTCTGAGGCATCTGTGATTGTACTCGAACCTCAAACTTTTCAGTTAGCACTAAGCACATTAACCATTTGCATCACCCAGGATCTCACAGTCAGATTAAACACCACTCTAAAGCAGTGGTTCTCAAATTTTATTTTTAATTTCATTTCTTCTTTAACCAATACCTTTCAAGTAGAAAAAGAACAAAAACTAGTGAGAAGCAAAATGAACAAATTACAAAATACTCATTACTAACACCATGTGTAAATTGCTTGTTACTTTTGTAAGAGAAGAACATGAGCTTAAATACATTGTATAGGATAAAATAATGTTCTAAAAGATTAAAAATCATTCTTCAATTTTATTAGACTTCACTTGCTATGATGTAAATTATTTGAATAGCATGAATTCATGGGCAGCATACTACCAAGGAAGTGTTACTGAATGGAAGAATTATATTCACATCTGCCTTAGCCATTGGGGTGTAAATATTTTATATTTGAGTCATTAATGCATTATGTCTTGAAAATAATAACCTAAAACTTCTGTTAATGCCATTTTGTATCCCTGACACAAAGCAAACCATATTGATAATGATAACATGAAACTGAAATTAGAAAGCAAGAATCTCAGCAGTTTGAAAATCAAAGTTTATTCAAGACATCATTGATGATGTACTAATAAAAAAAATAAGTATCATTTTCCCAAATTGCAGGAGTTCCAAAGCTCAGTTAGGAGTTGTGCAATGTTACCAAGCGTTGTGTATCATTCAGACTTCTTAGTAAACTGTTGAACTGATTAGAGCTGTCAGTACACACATAAAACTCTTTAACTTTTTTTTTTTTTTTTTTTTTAAGGATACCATTTAGTAATCCCAATTAATTGCTTTGGTGTACAAGGTGACGATTAATAGCTCCTTAGTCATATGTTAGTCAGTGGTGGATCAGTAGTAGAATTCTCACCTTCCATGCGGGAGACCGGGAGCTCTGGTAGCGTAGTGGCTAAGGCACTTGACTGCTAACCAGAAGGCTGGTGGTTCAAACCCATTAGCCACTCCTCGGAAGGAAGGTTGGGCAATCCTAATTCCGTAGTGATAATGGCTCGGAAACCCAAGGAGGGGTCTATGAGTCAGGGCTGACTCGACTCGACAGCACATAACAACAACAACAACATGCGGGAGACCAGGGTTCACTGCCCAGCCAATTTACCTCATGTGCAGCCACCACTCATCTGCCAGTGGAAGTTTGAGTGTTGTTACAGTGTTGAACAGATTTTAGTGGTACTTCCAAACCAAGATAGATTAGGAAAAGGCCTACTTCTAAAAATTAGCCAATGAAAACTTTATGGATCAAAATGGTCTGATCTGAGAAAGGCTCAGGACCAACAGTGCTTCATTCTGTAGTGTCTGGGGTCACCCTGAACCAACTCGATGGCAGTTAATGGTAACAGATGTTAAATAGCTTACTTCATTTGAAGTAACTTAGAAAGGTATTGCAGTTTGAGATCATTTTGAGGACTTGGAGACACCTTTTAGACATCTCTGAGAATCACTGTCTGCAGAATGACTAAGGAATTTCTGTAGAGTTATAACTATAACTTTTAGTTGTAAGGCCAGAAGACTTTAACTGGCATCGGCAGGGGCTTTGGCAGCCCATGGCCCCAGCCTCTGTTACCAGACAAAATTGACATCATTGTTTTTGTTCTCTAATGTTGCTATAACAGACATACCTCAATTGGATGGCTTTAACAAACAGGATTTTATTCTCTTACAGTTTAGGAGGCTAGAAGTTCAATTTCAAAGTACAAGCTCGAGGGGCCAGCCCTGCCTCTTGTTCCCGGCCCACTGGAGCTGGAGGCTTCTCTTAATTCAAGCAGCTGCTGACTGCTGAGGCTGACAAACCCAAGTGGACAAGTCAAATGACACAGTCCCAAAATGATAAGGAATATAGCAGGCCACTAGTTCAAGTCCAGAAGCAGTCTCAAGATAGGCAGATAATATGACAGGCCACTGAGGTGAAGACTTGGCCAAATGCAAGATCCAGATGTGCCAAAAAGCTCAAGACCTTTCTAAAAGTGCCTTCTGATATATTGGAAACAGACCACATCCCTAGGGCAGCTACTCAGCTGCTCACAGCACATTCCACCATGGAGTTAATGATCGGTCTCACCATGGAAAATAACTACATCTAGCTGCCCAGCCACTCAAAACCAGGCCCAGCCAAGTTGACATAAAGCCTTAACAAAGTGTTAAGTATAAGCAAGTATTAGCTGCTTTGCTTCTTTTCTCATGCAAGTGAAGATCAGCCAACTAAAACAATCTTTACCTCTCCAAAAAAACCCAAACCAAACCCATTGCCATCGAGTCAGATCTGACTCATAGCGACCCCTCCTTGGGTTTCTGAAGCAGTATCATTATGGAAGTATATTGCCCAACCTTCCTTCCAAGGAGTGGCTGGTGGGTTTGAACCACTGGCCTTCTGGTTAGCAGTCAAATGCCTTGGGCACTATGCCACCAGAGCTCCCCTTTACCTCTCAGCCCTCCTAAAATTAAAATGATTCCAAAACTTGCCTCCAGCTCTAAATCCAGTGATTCTTTTAATTTTAGAACTGCATTGTTACCACAGAAGCCTGGTGAATAGGTATTGTCTTCCAGGGTTTAAGGTGTATCATACTGTTGATTCTTGGGGGTATCTGAGAAGATTGTTAGCTATTAATCATAGGTCTTCCTGGATGGTATTGTTCCTCACTGGTTCCAAGTAAAAATGGAAATAAGTCCCATGACGACTTTCAGTTTTATTGTAGTCACTGGTTTTCATCCTGACTAAACCATTCCTAGTATAGGAAGATGGCTGCTCAGTTACTGTGCTTTAGGGATACCCCCTCCTTTCCCTCTACAGGATAACAAGTGAGCCCAAATAAAAAAACAGCCAAATTCACTGTTGTCCAGTCAGTTCCGACTCATAATGACCCCTCCTTGGGTTTCGAGGTGATATCTCTACAGAAGAAAATTGCTCAGTCTTCTTTCCGAGGAGTGGCTGGTGGGTTTGAACTGCCACCCTTCTGGTTGGCAGTCAAATGCGTAGACACTGTGCCACCAGAGCTTCCAACTAGTGACTATCCTGTGCTAAAGAAGAAAGATGTTACCTTTATCCAAAAAGAAGTATAATAATGCCAGCCTACCCACTACAGCTCTCCTACAGCAGAGCCTTTTGGGACTATCCCAGTCTCCTTCTTAGGCTGTCCTCTTATGACTTCTTGTCCTATTTGAGATTTCCTTTCATTTTTATAACAAGATTTGAACTATATATCTTTTTTGTGACAAAATTCTGAGGAGCAGTTGTGCTTTGTGTTAAATAGCTTGCTTTTACAGAAAATACCACAAATGAGATGGCTTAAACAAATGGGTGTATTCTCTTACTGTTTAGGAGGCTAGAAGTCCAACTTTAAAGTGCCAGGCTCCAGGGGTTGGGTGAAAGCCCCTCAACCATGGGCTTTAACTCTGCCTCTTGCTCCTGGCCCACTGAAACTAGAGGCTTTCTTCACTCAGGCAGCTGCTGGCTGCTGAGGCTGACAAACCCAAGGTCGACAAGTGAAAAGGCAAAGTCCTGATGTTACCAAACCACATGGTAGTCCATTAATTCAAGTCCATTGAAAGTTCTAAGATGGGCAGACAATCTGGCAGGCTGCTGAACAACTCAGGTACATGCAGGATTCAAGTGTGCAAAAACTGCAGACCTTTCTCAACACTTCTCAGTCTATATTGGAAGCAGACCTCATCCCTAAGGCAGCTATTGAACTGCTCTAGTAGATTCCACCGTGGTGTTAACTACATCCAGGTGCCCAGCCACTCAAAACCATTCCTAGCCAAGTTGACACATAACCTTCACTACCACAATTCCACCCCTTGTCAACTTGGCACCTGTACATATCTTCATATGGTGACACCTGTACAGATCTCCCTCACTGGGTTTCTCCAGTCCCCTATTTCATCTGAGTGGTGACCTCACCCCCCTTGGCCTGGTAGGCCCCATTCCTCTACCTCTTGGGCATGGCAGCCCTGCCCCCTCACTTTTGGGGCAGCACCTGTGGTCCCATCCCACTGGCCCACATGAATGAGCAGCCTCACACTGTAGAACAAAGTTGAAGGTCTGACTCTTTGAAACTTAAGGGGCTGTGGTAGTTCCATTCTCAGAGGCCATGGTCCTACCCTTTGAGGCTGAGGCAGCTCTGCTTCCCATTTCCTTGGTCTCTCCACTTCTGCCAATTAATGCCAAAGGCAACCCAGTCTGCCAGGAATCTTCCTGCCCAAAAAACCCAAAAAGCTCAGCTTTCTTTCTCCATTGGCCAGCCAACCTGCTACTCCATTTCATGCCGGTATCTTCTACCAATTACTGCCTCAAGGCAACCCACTCTGCCAGGAAGCCACCTACCCAGAGGCATCCAGCTTTCTCCTCCATTGGCTGGTAAGCCTGTTGCTATCTACAAGGTTTAGGAATGTAATACCTACACACAGAGTTTCTCTGTTGGTATGTAAACGACAGTGGTTGTCCTTACCTTGCTTCAGAAATAGGGGATCAGAGTGTAAAATTCACTGTTAATACCCTAATGGAGATTCTTTTTAATGCTCTTTATTTTTATCCCAGTTTGGACCTAGTAAGGAGCCTTGGTGGTACAGTGGTTAAAGTGCTCGTCTGCTACCGAAAGGTCGGTAGTTCAAACACACTAGCCACTCAATGGGAAGATGTGGCAGTCTGCTTCTGTAAAGGTTTACAGCCTTGGAAGCCCTATCGGGCAGTTCTACTCTGTCTTACAGGATCGCTATGAGTTGGAATCAACTGGACAGCAATGGGTGGGTAGACCTAGCTGGTTCTCTCCTCTGTTTGCAGTTATTGTTTTCTGCCCAAATTAAGGGATTTGTGATGTTTTCCATCGTGTCCATTTTACAGCAGAGACGGGGAGCACAGGAAGCTCCTTTTTAAAAGTAACCATTATCACTTTGTTTTAGAGATAGTCCCCTTTGGAGGGTATTGTATCAAGGCTCTGATTACTATTATTATCTTACTATTACATGAAATGGTCGGATCTCAAAAGTATTACTTGGTTCCAGTAAGTCAGTTCTGCCATTCTCTCCTTCCTAAGACTTCCTGTGATTTCCAGATGGAAGAATGTGTCAGCCCAAAAGGCTGAACAAACCCTTGAGCAAACAAGGGTTTATTCTCTTATTGTTTAGGAGGCTAGAAGTCCCAGTTCAAAGTGTCAGGCTCGAGGGGCTGGGTGAAAGCCTCTCGACCGTGGGCTTCAGCTCTGCCTCTTGCTCCCAGCCCACTGCAGCTGGAGGCTTTCTTCACTCAGGCAACTGCTGGCTGCTGAGGCTGACAAACCCCAACATCGACAAGTAAAAAGGCACAGCCCCAGTGTTACCAAACCACACAGCAGGTCTTATTCCAGTCCTAAAGATTTCAGCATTTCATAGAAGTTGGGGGAAAATGTGTTTGGATTCTTACTACAAAATGTAATTTATAAAAAATTGGGTGCTTAAAAGATCTAGCACCCCAACATTGAGTATATAGACTTTACTAAACCTGTATAGAAGAGGCTGTTGAATTAAGGTGGCCATGTCAGATGAAGACTAGGTCCTATAATTAAATACTAAACTTAAGGTATATTTAATTGCCACACTTCATGAAAATTATCAGGACACTGTGAATTTAACAATAGATATTTCTGTGGATTAGTCGGGAGCTCTGGTAGCATAGTGGCTAAGACACTTGCCTGCTAACCAGATGGCTGGCGGTTCAAACCCACCAGCCACTCCTCGGAAGGAAGGTTGGGCAATCCTACTTCCGTAGTGATACTGCCTCAGAAACCCAAGGAGGGGTCGCTGTGAGTCGGGTTTGACTCGACTGCACATAACAACAACAACAACATGGATTAGTCAGAAATTTTCTTTTTTAGAAAAAAAAAAAAAAAAACTATTTTAGGGGAAAACATTAAAGAGGAATTACCTTATGAAATGTTTCCTAGTGTTTTAAGAGCTTTCTTTGCTGAAAAAGAACTAGTAATGCTACTGACTGTTCTGATCAGGGGTACAATGGATGGATCCTGACAGAATGGGAGAAAATATGAGAACAGAACACAAATTCTTAAAAACTTCAGACTTACTGGACCTCTTGAGACTAGAGGACTGACTCCCTGAGACTATTGCCCTGACATACTCTTTAAACCTTGAACTGAAACTATCCGGAGATCACCTTTTAGTGAAATAATAGAGTGGCACACAAAATAAAGGATTTTACCTGTGAGTACAATTACGCTAAAGCAAATGTGAGAAGATAAGGGGGCAGGGAAACTAGAGCACTGAAAGTGGAGTGACTAGAATACAGTTAAAGAGAATGTTGATTCATTGCAAAAAATGTAATGTCACTGAACTATTTGTATAAAAATTATAAAATGGGAACCTAATTTTGTGTAAACTTTAACTGAATACACAATAAAATATTATATAAAAAAAATAAAAAAGAACCAGTGATGAAAACATGCTTCATTGCTAACTGGACACGCGGTGCTTTTTTGTTTGTTTCATCAGTGTACCAAATATTTTCTTCCCTTTTAAGGTGCCCACGGTCTGCAGATGATGAGCGAAAGCACCCTGTCCTCTGTCTTTTCTGTGGGGCCATTCTGTGCTCTCAGAACGTTTGCTGCCAAGAAATCATGAATGGGGAAGAGGTTGGAGCTTGCATTTTTCATGCACTTCACTGTGGAGCTGGAGTCTGCATTTTCCTAAAGTGAGTAGTGAGTACTGATCTGGAGGTTCATAATGAATTAGGGTTAAGGAACCTGGATCCAATCTTGAGACCATGATAGCTTTGTCTTTCCATTCTCTCACATAATGCAGTTTCTCTTTACATAAGCCCAGATGTGGTGTTGACTGTGGAATATGTAATCATTGCTGGAAGGCATCTGTTGTACTGTGGGGGAAGGAATGCCTGAGAACTAAACCCAAACAACTGTTTCCTTCTTCTAGGGACTCTACAGCTAGAATCCAGCTACCTACTCCAACTGAGTCTTTTTTTTTTGTAATTCGTCTCTTATATTTTACACATGTACACAAGCAGTTTTCGTCCTTTTCTCTCCTGTAAGAATTCCAAATGCCCTCAAGGTGGCAATGTTTCATTTTAATCTGTACTGTTGGACACTCACTCTAACCTAAGGAGGCTTGACACTTCCCCAGCTGACCTTCATTCTGGCCCAAGATTATCAGACTACGAGATGTGGTTCTATTTTTCTGTTAAGCCCCTTACACACTTACCGTCATGCATCAGGAAACTGAACAGAAAAAACACCATTTTCCAAGGTATCTGTGACTCAGGTAGGACATCCTTCTTCCTCCTTTCAATATATTCAGTCAGTATTACTGGTCCCATTGCCCTAAATCCAACTGCAACATTCACTGTCCTTTATTTAAACAAAACACAATTTAATCTATTTGTCTTTTATAATATTTATATTGTCTTTATACCGCATTCCTAATAGACATTGGCTGTGTCTTCTCTGACTTACTTTTTGATGCATTGTCTATCATTTGGACACATACACTTAATAAGTATTTCCTGTTGGTGGTTTTGTCCTTTAGAATCAGAGAATGCAAAGTTGTCCTGGTTGAAGGTAAAGCCAGAGGCTGTGCCTATCCCGCTCCCTACTTGGATGAATATGGAGAAACAGACCCTGGCCTGAAGTAAGATTTTTTTAATAGGATGGTTTCACTTAGTCCTTTTTATTTATTTGTTTGTTTGTTTGTTTATATAGTTTCCTTATTCTACATAGATAGTAACAATTCTTAGGGAAAAAAAGATAATGCTAAATATTGAGAGAGATATCTGCAAATTAAAAATATTGAATATGATGTCAACCTAAATATAATAAATAGCCTCTTTGATCATACAGAAATTTGTTTTTATTGTGACAGCATTTGACCTATATAGAGGTAGTCCTTGGTTTTAGGGAGACAAAAGTAGAGTGGTGTAAATTGTTAATGGCTAAGAATAAGAAATCTGAGTTATCTCAGGAAGGTGCAAAGACAGAGTTTTAAAATTCATCAGGTGATTTGAAAATACCCAAACAGCTAAAGGCACTAGTGCCTCAGGGAGTGAAGATCTCACAGTTCTTCATTATGTGCAACAGACATACATTAGTCCTTTTGGTTGATTAGGTGTTGTACAGTGTTGCATACTATGCAACCCTAGAATTGAAATAGAATTTATTTAAATATTTGCTAATCATTGTTTTTGAGTAGTAGAATAAATTGAGGATCCACCCCATACCTAACCTCTACCATACAAAGATCAGAAATCAAACCTGGATAAGCTGTAAGAGGCCAAGGAAGCTGTTGACGCCCCACTCAGGCTGACTGCCAAAAAAAGAATAGTGTTGCTTCAAGTTATAAGCCTAGCTGGCCACATAAATAAGGATCCATAATGCCCATGGTATACTTAACCTATTGTATGAGGAGTAAATTTCTTCTTGATAGGTTACTTCTAAGTAATGTATCAAGTTCTTAGGGATCAGTGCTGAAGGGAAAATACCACTTTTAAACACTGCCTGGTGATTTCTCCCAGTTCTAGAAGCATCTTAAGATTTCAGACTGTTTAGGCAGTAAAGTTGTAGCAGTTGTTTGAGTCAAGCTTACATGTTTATTTGTTTTTTTCCTCCCCTGAAGGAGGGGCAACCCCCTTCATTTATCTCATGAGCGATATCGGAAGCTCCATTTGGTCTGGCAACAGCACTGCATTATAGAAGAGATTGCTAGGAGCCAGGAAACTAATCAGATGTTACCTGGACTCAACTGGCAGTTACTTTGAGCCCCATCTTTATCTCAGGACAATCATGGATGAAGACAGTAATGAAGATCGGTTCAAAATTATGGAGACCTTTCTGAGGGCTGGGGAAGGGTTGAAGAATAATTAGCTCCACATCCAGATTCACATACATCAATAAAATATTCCCTTAATGGAGTATTGGCTTTCAATTAACAAACAGATGCTTCAAGGAAAAATGAACATAGATTAATCTGTTTTATATTCCAGAACACTAAAGAAGTGCTCGTTCACTCCAGGTGTCAATCAGAAACTGCTTGTATTTCCAGGAAACTCATTCCCCTTTAAAATCTATCCCAGTTCATTTGATTTCATCCACCTGATAAATGAAGTCACATCAAACAGTTGTGGACATTTTTATATGTTGGCTAACTCTTCTGCAATTTTGTATTTGCCATCCCTCTTTCCCCAGTTTAGATTAGTTAACACTGGATCACTGACGAGATTCCAATAATCAGTGATAGATTATTGGAATAGATGGGCAGCTGAAGAGGGATTACAGAAACCATGCAATATACTTGAATTGAGAAAGATTTCAAAAAAAGTAAAACTTAAATTATTTGTCTTTTAAGGAAATACCCTTAATTTGCCACATGTTGCTTTAGCTAGAAAATAAACTAGAAGATCTCTGCCAGTATAGAAAAGCACTTTTTCCACTGTAGACCTAAAGAAGGTTTAAAATAATGCATCTACCCCTGATGTTACAAAAAGCCTGTAATCCTTACCTCTGACTTCAGATGGCATTATTCAGTTTTGAAATTATGCTTTCCATTTTCCAAATGCAAATTTCTACAATGAAATCGCTTAGCACTTGGTTGCAGCACCATCTTATTTGACTCTCAGAAATCTGCTCGAGTTCTGATATAAACTAGCTGCAGAACAAGGATAAGAAAATTCTCCAACGAATGGAGCATAACAAGTGTAAATTAGAACAATCATTTTTAAGCCAATCCTGTAACCTTCTATATAGAAAATTCCCCCAGTCCTTGATTTGTTGTCTGTGTGTAACCTTTTCATAAACTCTGGTTTTATGACTGGTACAAACAACCAAAAAAGCCATGTGATCAACAGTCAGTGTTCTGTTATAACATGCTGTGATTGAGCCATCTTGTTTATAAATAATAGAGCTCTTTCAGAATCTGCAGAGGCTTCTTGGTTCTTGTCTCTAGCTTTTTATATCAAGACCTTGTAATATGAAACAGCAGTCAGAAGATAAATTGAAACCTTCCATTTCAACTTACTGTTGTCTCTGGGGTAATACGTTAGGAATTTGAAAGATGCACTCAAGGACTTTGCCTTTGCCTTTGGTGTCTACTTTGGTGTCTTATATATGTGTGTAAATGTTTTCTTACTTTCTTTTTGCTCAGCACACATGCAAGCAAGTAAAAATATATTTGCTAAGTGGTTAGTGATACACATTTGAGGAAAGGTTGTTTGTTTTCTTGGTATTTTGATATAAAGCTAGTAAAAGGTGGATGTTTGCAATTAGGAATTGACATGAACAAACAGGCATCCGAATTACAATCATGGTTTTCTACTTGAATAATTACTATTCAGAAGGTATTAAGAAATAGACTCAATTCTAGTGAACAATCTGTAACAATTGGTGAATGAGGAATAGAAATTTCAGTTTTCAGTTTGTCAGATTTGCCTTTGTTTCTTATATAATTTTGTTGGATGGATTGTTAATTTGGGAAGTTTGAGCCAACAATAGAATAGACAACAGATGCTGACTTCTGCCCTAAATAAATGGCTCCAGTTTAGCAAAGATAAACTGACTTTTTATTTCTAATCTTTTTATACTCACTTCATAATTCTGGGGTTAAGCTATCAGGCTGCCAGAGAGACCTTTACTGCCAAAGACCATTTGATAATGAGTTCTGCCTACTAAGATCACTCCAGAACCCTGCACTGTAATGAACATACTTCTTTCTCAGTTCTCCCAGCCCAAGGGGTTTCAAAGTGTATTCAGATGTCTTAATGGTTTGCCTTCATCATTGCAAACAATTTAATTATGCTTATGAAGTTTACTTACAAACAAGAAACAAAGTCACTTTATTTTCTTTATTGTAGTATGTGAAAGAGCTGGTTCAACAAGATGGCTCCAAGAATATGCTTTTCTAATGTTGGGTGAGGGGCTGGCAGGAATTTTAAAGATAAAGTGAAGAAAAACATGTATCTGTATAATTATTTATTATGTTGATGTGTGGGCTGAGAGTTCACCCTTTTGTGGTCATTTGTCATTTCATAATAACTATGCATTTTGGTTCACTGTGATGATCTATATTTAGTGACTGCAATATGTTTATACCACTGATTCAAATTCCATCCATGATGAAGTAATAAAATAATGCATATATTGATATCTTTTATTGCAAAAATGTAAATTTCAAACTTGTATAATGTTCTTGTGCTTTTTGAAATAAAATATATGTGTATATTTAAAAAGAAGAAAAGGGACTTCTCATGTTTGGGGATTTGGGTTTGAAGTATAAAAATCTATTAACTAGAAAGAAGATCTAATAAAAAGTTATCTTTGTCAACCTAGACAAAATCTTTTAAAAAATAGGTGTTTAGTGTAATTGTCTCCAAACTTTTTGACCATGCACTTCATCAGTGAATAATTTTAAGCATGTATACCAAATATATACATATATAATATTATATATAGGAGCTCTGATGGCATAATGCCTAAGGCATTTGCCTGCCATCCAGAAGGCTGGCAGTTCAAACCCACCAGCCACTCTTTGGACCAGCCGCTCTTTGGAAGGAAGACTGTGCAAATCTACTTCCATAGAGATATACTATTATATATGTATTATTTTACATTATAATTGTGCCCTGCTGCTCTAATACACTAAGTATATTATGTTGTCGTTGTTGTTGTTATGTGCCGTCGAGTCGACCCCGACTCATAGCGACCCCTCCTTGGGTTTCCGAGGCAGTATCAACACGGAAGTAGGATTGCCCAACCTTCCTTCCGAGGAGTGGCTGGTGGGTTTGAACCGCCAGCCATCTGGTGAGCAGGCAAGTGTCTTAGCCACTATGCTACCAGAGCTCCCCAAGTATATTATAGCAAAAAAAAAAAAAAAAAAAAAATTGAAAATGAGTTGAAGAAGTAGAAATCTAAATACCTTCCAGTGAGTCTTGTGCATCCTTTTGGACATGTGCACCCCAGTAGCTGAGACAACTGTCTAGAACACTACTATCCAGAAGAACTTTCTGCAGTGATGGAAGTGTTTTGTGTTTGCATTCCACTAGCCTCATGTCACTGCTGAGCACTTGAAATGTGACTGGTGGAAGTGAGGAACTGAATTTAATTCATTAAACTGAATTTAAATTTAAATAGTCATATATGTCTGTGGTTATTATTGTAGAGCTTAGGTCTAGTGTAATAGTTCTCAAACTTGACTATGCATTAGAATCATCCAGAGAGCTTTAACAAAATACAAATTCTCACCCTAGATCCTGAATAAGAATCTTCTGGGATTGAGCCTTAATCTGTGATTTCCTTTTGTTTCTAAACTGTGACTCTTCACTTAAAATTTAGAGTTTACTTTCTTTTTAGCTTAGTGATTTCCAGACTAAGTGCCAAGAACCTTCTGGAAATAAGCTAAGGAGGGGAAGGAGCGCCATTGATTTACCTTTTTAAGAGCCTAAACTATTCTAGGAGGGGTAACATTGAATGCACTGGAAGAATGGTTGTTTTGTTTTGTCTTTTTGGAGGGAGGGAGATGAAAATACCAGGCACTTGTAATTGGCAGGGAGAAGTGCCTAAGGGGCTTTCTCCATGTTTATACTAGAGCAGGTGGGCAGTTCTAGGAAAAACAAATCACATAACCAGGCACATTTTCACAACTGACTACATTAAGATTTTAGCCTTCTAACAACAGAAAGCCACCATTAATAAAGTTAGATAGCCAGAGTTAGGTGGTATGACCATATCAACAAGACATTTTTTGTCTCCAAAATTTTTCTGGAAGTCGTGATAACAAAAGGAAAAACCGAAAGTTGGTTTATTCAACAAAACTAGGTAATAGAGACTCTCCATGAGCTCCAAAATATGGGCAGATGTCCCCAAAACACAAACAGCAGCAGGATTTGTGCAGGATTTGGAACTGAAGGGGGACTACTAAGAGCTGCAGAACTGAAAAATTACTGACAAATACCCCCTAAATGGAGAGGACCCCACCCAAGAGGAAACCTTGACAATTAGGTCCTGAGAATAAAAGAGAAGTCCTTGCATGCTTTAAATAGAGGGTGGGTGAAAAATTGCAGTCTTGAGAGGATCAAAAAGTGTAGTGGCAGTCTTGAGTCATCTACATTTATGGTATTTAATGCCCATTAAATAGCACTTGCCTTAAGGAAAGAGTTTCACCCTGAGGAGAACATCCAAAAACAGAAACCAAATTAAGCATAGCAAGAATACTGTGGGTGGGAAAGTTCATATGTGTGTGTACGTGATATATAAAAAATATTAGCAAAATACAGGATTTAAAGATGTATGTGCAAGAGATTACTTTTCGAGCATTTGACAGTAACAAAAAAAAGAGGGAGCCTAGAGCTATGAAGGTTAGAAAGGTTACTTGGCCCATCACTACCCATTTACCAGACCCCTCTTCCTCATGATCCAGAAATCCATCTCATTTAAACAAGGAGAACAAAAATGAAATATGGTCTAATACTAAGCAGAGTTATTACAAGGAGAAAAAAAAGTGAAAAAGAACTGAATAAAGTTGCAGCAATTCATGAGAACACAATAGGAAATTAAGGCCACAAAGCAGATGAAAACACAAAATAGTGCTCAGCTGTCTTAGTATAACTTTTCTAAGTGAGTTGCAAGAAATTAAAGCATTGACAACTTGGAAGTGGCCATCTAGGATCCAACAATTGGTCTCCCCTTGTCTAGAGCAAAGAGTGAAGAAAATCAAAGACACATAGAAATAATTAGTCCAAACTCAGCCAATGACCCCAAGACCAGAAGA